GGGGGGGGGGGGGGGGGGGTGCGTCTGTGCCCTGCATTTCACAACACGAAGGCTTTGATGCCCCAAACAGCAGCTGGAGAAGGGCCGGGGCGTTTCACAACAGGCGTGTCAGGGACCATCCGCTCAGTTGCAGAATTTTGTAGCGATTTCAGGAAACCGTATTTTTGGTCATTTTATCACGCTGGAGGTGGGGAAGAGCAAGGACGGGTTACAGGGTGTGGGTGGGCCAGCAGTTTCTGAAAGAGGGGTGGTGGCTACACCCTCGGATGTGCCCACCAGGCAGCAGGAATGAGACCCCCAGGTATCTGGGTTTTTTTTTTTAACGCCGATGTAGTCACTAAGGTGACCAGGGAGCCTGGGTATTGCTCAGGGTCACCAAAACATGTCTTAGCACTACTTTTCTGCCTGGCTCTGCGGCTCTCCTTGCAGGGGGAGGCTCCTTGTCCAGCCGTGCCCGTAAGCCACGCCAAAGTGGCCGCAGCAAGCTGCAATCCTGGCCCCAAGGCCACCGGGGTTGAGCAAACATCTGCTTGCTGGAGCTGCGGAGGCGAAGGAGCGGGAAACAGGTGGCTCACAAGCAGCCTGGTAGCCAGGGCAAGCAAAAAAATCTGCTTCGAGGTGACTGGGGTTGGTTGTGCTCGGAGGGCCTGAGCGCTGGCAGGGCACCCCGTGCTTGACAAGGGTTGCAAAACTCTTTCAAAATCCACATTTACAGGCAAGGGGCTGGCTGATGCAGGAAGAGGGCACGGCAGGGTTTGCCACGATGTGGTTTGTCATGTTTCACAGCAGGTTTTAGCCCAGGATCAGCATAGGACATATGTCGTGGTTGCTAGGCGTGGTTTTAGCTTGGGGAAGGCAGGGGATGCACCCTGAGCCCTGGCACCTGAGCACCCTTGGGTGTTAACCCCACCAGCGATGCTCTAGCTGCGACCTGGCATGAGCAGCCACCACGGGACCTGGGGCAGCCTGGAGGTTTTCCCACCTTAGAGCTGCAGGGGGAAAAGATTTCCCAGTCCTTTAGCTCGAGCCAAAAAGCATGTCTCAGCCACATCGACCAGCTACAAACTCAGCTGCCTAGGAGGCACCGCCTTGGTCCAGCCCAAAGGGTGCCGAGAGCTGGGCATGGCCTAAGAGCTGTAGGGTGCTGGACCCTCTCCAAGCCCTCCTGGAGCTCTGGCAGGTTGCAGGGCGGGAGCTGGCCATTGCACTTGCCCTTCCTGCCTGTGCTGCAGCGTGCAAAGTGTTGTTCTTGCTCGTGCCGGGGCAGCTGCTTGCTCAGGCCCATGTGGCCGTTGTACCTGAGCCTCCAGTGAAGGAAAGAGCTGGCTTACGGTGTGTTTAGTACCCAGGAAAGGTTTGTCGGTGCTGCAAGACATCTCCCAGACGGCTCGGTCAAGTACAAGATGCTTGTGCCCTGCTGGAGCTCGTCAGGGGTTTTGGTGAGAATATTTTTGCTGGTGGAAAACTCTGAGATGGAAACGATCCGGGCGTTCCATCTTGGCTGGGTAGCAAGTGATTCAGCGGGGTTAGGAGGGAGCACTCTGGGTGACTTGTCTGTGTGGGAAAACTCTGAGACTTGAGAATTCACTGGGATTTAGGGAGAAAATTTCAAATCTCAGAATTTCCCACGGACTAGAAGTTATATATACAGATAGTAACTTCTGTGTATATATTTTTTTTTTTCCTAAGAGCACCCTGGCTTGTTCTCGCGGTAAAGGCTGTGTTTTGTTGCGAACTGCTGTTGTCATGGGCATTAATGCATTTTTCCTGCCCACGGGTGATTCTGCATCCCGACGATGCCCTTGGCATGGGGAAAAGGGGAAAAAGCCGGGTGAGGATGGGCAGAACAGGAGGATTTTCCCCAAGCTAGGCTGGCTCTGCTCTCCCCATCTCTACAGAAAACTTCCTCTGCCAGGAGAAAAACCTTTAATACAACGACTATATGCTGCAGCTGATGGTTAAAACCCTTGCAGAGCTCGGGCGGTGTTTCTGAACTGGTCTTGTGGTCATTAATACCCTCCTAACCCGTAAACCCAGCCTTTGTGGCTTGGATTAGCCACTGAGCAACACAGCTCTCGCCCATTCACATCCCGATCCTAAGTCTCTACCTTCACAGGGTTTTGGGGCGCTTCGTTTAGGCAAGCCCCTACCCCCCAGCTCCAACAGGACCGCAGGTGGCCACCCTCCCCATCCCATCCAGGAGGCGGATGCGAAGGGGAGTGCTGAGATAGGAAGGACTCAGTGAACTGCGAGGGATGCTTTATTGTCTCACAAGCACGAGGGATTCAAGCAGCCAGAGAGCAGCCAGAGCTCAACTCCTACAAGCGACCTTTCTGAGAATTTCACGGGTCGTGCGCCGAGACTCAATCCTTGTCTGGCGTACAGCGGTCGTCCTTGTGGATGATGCGATGGGCATCATCGGTCACCTTAGCCAAGACGATGGTGAACTCCTCGAAAGTCAGCTCTTTGTCCTTATTTAAGTCTGTCTCTTTGAAGATCTTCTTCAAGTATTCGGGGTGGTACCTGCCCTGAAATCGGGGGACAGGACATGTGTTAGCCCGCCCCGTCCCTAGGCTGCACACCCACTGGTGGAAACCGAGTGGGTTTTATTCCTGTATCCCCTGGGAGATGTTTGGAAGCCGCAGGATCACTGCGACCCTCGCAGTTAGCCCCTAGTTAAAATCCCAGATAGGCAGAGTCTTGTCTCAAGCGCCTCTGGGGAGTGGCAGGAGGGATGGAGCACACGTGGCCTCGCAGCGCGTGGTCTGAGCACAGACACACACTCCGTGGACCACAGCCGGAGCGGGGACTGCACCCCATTCCCCCGGGACCATACCTAGGGGCAACCTCAGGCACATTCCCCCCCCCCCCTGGCCCCAGCCCCCCCAAGGAGAGCATCCCTCCGGGGAGCACAGCACAGCTCCTGAGGCACTCACGCAAGCTTGCAGGAAGGTCGGTGCCTGCTCAGTCAGCAGCGTCTTGAAGTCGTTGAAGTTGAGGAGGTCGAGCTTGCCCTCCCGGATGCTGTAACGGTGGTAGACATCCACAATGGTTTTCAGGGCCATCTCCAGGGTGCAGTTTCCGGGGAACTGCCGAGTCTCGGGATGGGCGGTTGCGGTGTGGGTCCTTGCAGACATGGCTGAGCTCTTGAGGTAATGCAGAAACTGCGTGGGGAAACCTCAAAGCCGTGAGATGCATCAAAAATCAGGCGCCTCATGCCCTTGGCCCTCAGCCAGGCACCCCAAGGGGCTTGAGCTGCACCTCCCCAGCCTACAGCAGCTCTGCACCAGAAGACTTATCTCGCCGGGGCTGAGCAGTGCCCAGCGTGCCCAGGGGCAGTCGGCAGCTCCTCGGCGCTGAGCAGGTAATGAGTGGTTTTAGGAACACCGCAGTTTTACAGCATCACCCAACTGCCTCCCGTTTTAGCTTCACCCACGAAGCAGCTGCTTCTTACTGACCTGGAGGCATTTGTCAGGCAAGTCAGACAAACCCATCAGGCTTGTAGCTGCGTTATCTCTGCCTACCCGCTGACAGCAAGGATGACTTCAAGGCAGGGAGCACGGTTCAGGGACAGGCTCCGTGGCAGCCTCTGCCTGACCTCCTCCTCCATCCATGAATCTCCCTCCTCTTTGGGCTGCAAACCTTTTTCACCTCAGACACTGAGCACGGAGACCCTGGTCTCTGCTGGGTGCCACCGTGACACCCCCAAAGGGCTCTCTCCTTGCCAGTGCAAACAGTTTCACCTCCGCTAAAGACGGCACAGAAATGCCATTAAATTATGCGGGTCTTTTTGTAGACAAAACCAAGTAGAAAGCATCACCCTAGAATAAAACAGGCATGGCATCTTCAAAATAATTCCTCCCTCATCTAATTTCCTGCGAGTAGCGTTGCAGGGTTACTTACCCTTTTCTCCAAGGAGGGTTTGCAGCGGATGGGTCTGTTGAAGTGATCCGAGAGCCTGGGTAGCCCTTTTATAGATGCCTGAGATCCTCTTTCATCAGAGATGGTGACACACCTGCTGCAAGCAACAGCTTGAGTTAGCATTTCCAGCACCTGGAAATTGCAAGGTGGGAACTTCTGAACCCCTCCCGGCCTCATACTTCTGCACATAGTTCCTGGTTGCACCCACCGGGCTTTGGAAATGTTGTTCTTCCACCCCACCGTCACCTCCGACGGGGCTGAGCCGCTCGTGTGCGGGGCAAAGAATGGGAAAAACACTAGACGTCCCGCCACGCCTCAACGTGAGCGTAAAGGGCACAACTGTCTCGGCAGGACTTGACCAAACTTTGCAAGTTTTGCGGCGCGCTGAAAATTTTGCACGCCCTCGTGCCAGTGTAGAAAAAAAAAAGAAAAACAAAAAAATTGGGTTGTTTCAGAGATAAATTTGTTCCTTGGTTGTTTTTTAATGTGCTTCTACTATCTGAACCGGTTGGACACTAGTAAAGATGAAGGCAGCATCTGCCTTTTAATAAATTGTTTTCCACACTCTTTTCCACTGTTTCCTATTTTCACACCAGACTTTTCCTCTTGCTCCAGAAACTTCATGGAGGAAACGGGGCGTAAAACACGGAGGAAAAAAAAAATTGAGATCAACGTCTTTACTGGTTGGAGCATTAACTAGCAAGTGTTTTGCAACTGTCACCTCCGTGCCACCCATCTTGCGTTAGCAGAACAGGTACTAGAAGAACGAAGAGATTATCGAAATATAAAAATAAGACGCTAGATTCCAGGAAGAGCGTAGAAAAACAAAAGGGTAACCATTCCTGTTTGAGGATGCTTCTCGCGTGTCCCGAGGGCAGTATCAAGAACTGTTGCATGAGTTTTATTCTGGTATCCCTGACTCATTTTTTTTTTGGTTTTGTTTTCCTGCTCTACTCATTAGTGACTGACAATCCAAAAGGACATCCTCATTCCCCTTGCTGGCCTTGCAAAGCGTGGGCCAAACCTGGGGTTTGCCCTGTGCGCTTGTACAGTCCCCGTGAGGACACACCTGTGGCCTCTGAATTCCCGTCTTTCCCGGACGTGTTCCCTAAAATATGCAGCGGAGGCAGCCCGGGATGCCCAACCCCGCAAGGATGGTGACGCCCAACTGACACCCGCGTGCAGGACAGTGGATAATGTCTGTTTCTGGGGGGCGAGGGCTGCTCCCCGATGGCAAAACTGGAGCCAGAGTGATCGGCTGTGTCATCGAGTGCAAATAATAGCCCCACGCTTCCTTCCGCAGCTTGGTTTCATGTGGGACGCAATTCTGGTTTCAGCCGATATCAGGAATGTTGGGGTGTCCTGAGCCTGGGGGTTTTCCACTCAGCGCACAGTCACTGGCGGATACAGGAGCTTTTTCCTGCTCAGGTATCTGTTCCCCGGGAGCCTGCGGTGGATTGCAAATATGCTGTGACCCGTCAGGTTGTTGCCCCACGCTAGCAAAACCACTCAACTTTATCGCGTAGAGTTAACACCAGCTTTCCAGAGCCCCTCAGCCTCATCCTGCGCTGTGTCGGGGCTTGCAAGATAAGCGCTGGATGCTTTGCGGGTTGCAAAAGCATTGCACGCACCCCCAGGATGCTGCACCCCCAGGTCTGGAGCTGGGTCTTGGCAGTCACCTGGGGAAGCAGCCCCTCGGCTGTGCCGCACCCCGGGCATGTCCTGGAGCTGGTGCAAAGAGGGACTGGAACAACCGGGGCTGAGGACGCTCTCGTGCAACCACTGGCTGCCCCCACCTGGGAACCTCGGCAGCGTGATGGAGCGCTCCGCACCCCGCTGTCTGCTGAGGCGAAGGGTGCTGGGGCCACCCACCCTGCGCAGGGAACCCGAGGAGACTGGGGAAGGCAGCGGGAGTGTGCCGGGATCCGACACACTCCAGGTTTGGGAGCTCCCCCAGCCTGCGCTGCTCAGCTGGGACCCGGCAGCGCTGTTGTCCTGGCTCCCCGCTCTGCAGGGAGCAGGGTTCCCCCCTCCTGCCCTCCCTTTCCCACTGCTCCTCCAGTTCAATCTGTGTTTACCCCCTCCCCAGCCACGTTGCATCCTCCCTGGAGACAACAGGACACAATACAGATGCATTCGGTGCTTAAAGAAATTTTATTTTCAGGGCCATAGGCAGAAGCAGACGACAAAGCTTTGGTTACAGGTTTGTGCTCGTGGACAAACAGAAGGGATGATGGTGCTGGAAGAGCACGATCCCGTGGGCAAAATTACCCTGGAAACCGCTTCATTTGCGGGGACCGTGGCCGTGGTCGTGGCCGTGGTCGTGGCCGTGGTCATGGCCGTGGTCATGGCCGTGGTCGTGGCCGTGGTCGTGGCCGTGACCAGCATGTGGATGCTTGTGGGACCTGTTGTGAGCATCAATGACTAGAAGATTCAGTGTGGTCAGGAACTCGGTGAACTTCAGGCGACCATCATGGTTCCCGTCTGCTCTGGTGTAGAGTGTGTTTATGAAATCATCAATGGATGTGTTAGGCTGCAGCAGGAAAAAAAAAAAACGTGAAAAAGAGTCAGCCTGAAGCGCAGCGGGGTTTAGGGGTCACCTGCCAGCCCGCAGCTACGGCAAGAGGCTCACCCCGCGAGGAATGCATGGTTTCAGGGAAATCCTAGGAAAAAAAAACAAACTCCCTCCCCTTTGGGAGCCTCTCAGCCACTCCCACACCTCGAGAAGGCTGCCGCTCCTGCGAGCTCTCGCCAGTGTTAGGAGAGCTGGGCCAAGCTCGGTTCTTACCGGCACCGTGTTGGAGATGAAGGGCTTGGCGTTCTCCTTCAGCAGCTGCGAGAACTCGTCCTTGCTCAGGTAGTCATCTATGGGGTTCTTGATGGCGTACTGGTGGTAGATGTTGATGACGCACTCCAAGGCGAGCTCCAGGTCGGTTTTCATCTCGCTAGGAGAGGACAAGCAGCAAAAAGGTTAAAGCCTATTGGAGGAGAAGGACTGTCTTCTCCTCCGGGAGCCCCAGGTGGGCTCCAGCTGCCCGAGGGAGGGGGGTCAGGCTCATCCCGGTGACACTTCCAGCAGCACGAAGCCTGGACTCGCCGTTTGACAAGGACCTACTTACCCACGAGCAGTGCTGGGGCTGACTTCTGCAGACGATGGGGCTCGGGAGGAGAGGAGCGGGCAGGAGCAGTGACGGCGCCGTGGAGGTGAGGTCTCTTTTATAGTCTCCCTGAGCTATGATTTGTGACACCCTCAAATTTCCTTCGGGGCAATAACCCCAGGAATTGGGCAAGGCTACACAGCACGCCCAGGCGGCAATTTCTTACCTGGCTTCCAGGAACTGACTGCTCCCACTCTTAATGAGGGAGGGGACGCCCCAAACTCGTTAAGGCAAAACAAGGAAACACCAAAAGAGACATTTTCAGGGAACCAGCACTGTGGGTCAGTGATGGAGCAGGGTCTTTCCCAGGAGCTGAGAAGTTCCTGTAAAGTTTGAGGGTCTTTGCAGAGAGGATGAAAGAGGAATTTTTTTTCCAGATCACATAAGCAGGTGCTGGGTGAGGGTCTCCAGTAGGATGATGCTGGTTTTTTTCCCCAGTGGGAAATGTGGTTCATCACTCCTGTATCTGCCCCGACACTGTTGGATTTGGCTGGAGGTGCGGTCTCTGCCCCCAGCACGCTGCTGCACAGGTGCTGGGGGATGGCCAACGCATCCCACCCACCTGTCACACACACACCCCCCCCAAAAAAATCATGAACAACATTAGCCCTGAATCATTTCCTAGCAGCTATTTGGGAGCCAAGAAAGACATTACAAATCTGGGCACGCCAGAGTGCCGGAAACCTGCCAGCCAGTCTCAGGAGGTGGCATTTCCCAGCAGCTGTAATTTCTGCCTGATGAGAACCGAGGACATTGGCAACTGCTGCCCATTCCCGGCACCGGCTGGGTGCTGCCACGCGCGAGAGATCCCCTGATGTTCCCAGTGCCTGGTACGGGCTGCTCAACCCGTCGTGTCTTGGGGGAAAGCCAGCCTGAGGGGGGCTGGCGAGGAGCCCCAAGCCCTTCACCCCAAATCCATGCTTGGTGGGACCGGCACAGCAAAAAACCCGTGCTGGTCATTAAGGCTTCAAGGAGATGGGAAGGACGGCAGTGGCGAAACATCCCCCTGTCAGTCTGCTCATCTAGGAGCACGAGGAACCGGTGCCAGAAAAAGCCAAAATTGCAAAAGAGGGGAACAAAGGGACAGGTTGTGTGATGGAGATGGGCGCGTCCTCCTCAGGAAGGGGAGCCACGCAGGGTTGATCGACGGGACACGGGTGCACCGTCAGCAAGGCGTGACGGGACACGCTTTGGGAGGTGTGAAAGGGCGTGTCTGTGCCACGTGGGGAGGTGGGAGGAGACACACATGCACCGCGAGGCTGGCAAGGAGGGACACAGGAACGCACCGTGGGTCTTCACACTGTCATTTGTTGCCCAGCCTGCCACGGAAGCCACGTGCCCACATGCCACAGCACGGACCGGGCCACGACAGGCCACGTTCCAGTGCAAGAGCCGCTGTGGGGTGTTGGTACCTGCTCCGTGGTCAACTGCAGCCACGGGGCTGGGAGCGTTGGTGCCACAGGGATGGAGCCTGTACAGCCCTGAGGGGGTGGTGGCAGGGCAGTGTCGATGGATGCAGGCGGGGTGGGATGCCTGCACGTCATGTCAGCTTCAAATATTCACAAAAAGGGCCAAGGGTGCGCGGGGGGAGGTCCCTTTCGCCAGCCTCTGCGATATGAGTGCGGTGCGGCCACGTTCTCGGGTGTTTCACTGAGCCTGGAGGGACGGGTGAGTTTTTTTTTTTACCTAATATTGATGTTGGGGTGAGTGCTGGATCTCAGAAGCTGGGGTTTGGGGAACAGCCCCTACATTCTCCATTTAAGGGGAGCGGGAGGATGAGCTTCAACCCCCGTCTCCTGCCAAACCAGCCCTTGCAAAGCCGGGGGTGCGGTGCCTGAGTGGGAGTCCCTGGCTAGAGCATCACCAGCACCCAACAGGATCCATCTGCGGGGACATGAGCACTGGGTGCAGCCCTTGGCCACGTCCCACCCAACCCCTATGCAAGAGCCAAAACAGCGCCATCCATGAGGTTTTAATTTATTTAAGGTTTATTTAAGTTCAAAAATGACCAGAAACACAGCAACAACGCTTTACAACAGGACATTACAAAAAAACTTTACAAAAGGACCCCAAAAGCCCCTGGGCCCCCTTGTCCCAACGGCTGGCCCAGCTCTACATTTTGTATTCCTACAGAGAGTTGCTGCAGATCACGGCCAGCGGCCTCGGGAAGGGGGATAAACCCCTTTTAGGATACACCATACTCCTAAAATTCCCTCCCTCATCTTTGTTGTGGTCCAGGTCTGGTCCCCGTCACAGCTGTGGGCAGCGCGGGGGCAGAGGGGAGCTCAGCAAGCGGCCGGGAGCTGATCCAGCTGTGGGGTAAGGAGCAGGGAGCACCCAGGGCATCGCTCCCTCTCCGCCCCGGCGGATGCTCTGCAGCCCTCCAGCCCGCTCTGGTGCCAGCAGGGCCCAGGGGGGGGACAAAGCCCCTCCAGAATCCGGCCCCGGGGCGGGCAGGGGGCTGCCCCACACCCCCAGCGTTGTGCCACTCTGGGGTGTTGAACCACCGGGGGCTGGTGACTGCAGGGTGACTCACGGACGCAGCCCAAATGTGGCTCCCAGTTGCCTCCACATGGAGCCCCGGGGCTGGCGGAGGGGGCATCTGGCAAGGGGGGGGCCCAAAACCGGAGCTGGATGAAGAGAAGCCTTTGTGGCATCTCCGCTGGCCGGTTGTCTCTGGAAGCAGCCCCGAGCTGGCTCCCAGCGGGGTGGGGGGGGTGGACACCCACATCTGGAAGGGGCATGCTGCACATCTGGAGCCCGGCACGCAAGCCCGGGTTGGCTCCAGCTGTTCAGTGGGGGGAAAAAGGGGATCAGGGGGTGGAAATGGAGACTCGGAGGCGTGAGCCAGGCAGGGTCTGGGCGCTGCGGCTGCGTGGCTCCTCGCGTTTGTAGCCACGGGCTGAGTCCTCCCACGCTGGCGGCGCAGGGAAGTCAGTCCTCTGCACGCCACAACCCCTCCCCGAGCAGGAACGCTGCCGAAACCCCGCTCCCCGGGGATTTGCTTGGGGTGGGAAGGGACAAGGGTCCCGGGTGACTTCCCGAGGCCCCTAAGGGCAGCAGGTGGGGGGACAGACGCTGACCCCGTGTGAGCTTAATAATTACGGTTGATAAAAAAAAGATTTGTTCGCCCGTCACTGTTAGCACAGCCCCGGTCGGAGGCGTTAGTCCCTGCACAAGCTCCTGCCTCGCCTTGCACGGCCACGAAGCCGTTATCGGGGCGCAGGGTGCGGTGCTGCCGGGCAGGGCCTGCTGCTGACTCACACCAGCGTGGCCGGCGGGATTCGGCCCCGCGGGCGGTTTCCGAGGGCTCAGGGAACGCCGTGGCCGTGCCGCAAACGCAGCAAACTCCAGCTCGGAAGAGCCCTCGGTCTGGCTCCTCATCCGATACCTGCAACGCTCACACGGATGGGAAAGGAGGATTTCCCCCCTGGCCCCCCCACGACGTGACAGCACCCCCGTTGCTGGGGCAAGAAACCCCCGTGACAAAGCAGGCAGAGGATTTTGTTGAAAACAACGTTTATTGAAAGAACATCGGGAAGACAGCAGGAGGGTCATGGGGGCAGCGGTGCGGCCCGGGGCCCCCACGCTCACTTCTTGCGTGGCATCTTGTCGGGGCAGTCCTGGAAGAAGTCGTTGCACATCATGGCCATGCAGGCCAGGAAGGTCACGTACTCTTGGAAATCCACCTCGCTGTCGCTGTTGCTGTCCAGGTTGCGCATGAGCTGCTGTAAACTGGCCTCGCTGGTTTGTCTCTGCCCAGGGACAAGAGAGGGGTTAAAATGAGGGGGGGGGGTTGTTGCATCAAGGGCCACATCCCTGAGTGCCAGCATCGCCCGTGGGACGTGGCACCCCCTGCCCCACACTTACGCTGAAGCTGGGCAGCTCCTTCATGAGCAGGTCCTTGAGCTCCTGCTTACTGAGCTTGTATTTGTCCCCCTCCTTCCCCGAGTACTTGTGGAAGGTGGCGACCATCACGGCCAGCGCCTGCTCCAGGGGACACGCCATGGGGGACACCAGCAAGCCTGGAGGTACTGACAGCACAAGCAGGTGAGAGCAGAGTTCAGCATCCCCAGACACCCCCATCCATGCTGGAGCGGGGGGCAACAGTCTCCCCCAGCTCCCCAACCTGTACAGGCTGCTCCGGTGCCCCACTCCCGGGCACGCACTGGGATGCATCACCGTTTCCTCCCTAATTTCACCCTCCCGCTAGCAGCCAGGCTGGGCGGTGCCGGTTTGCCCCAGTACTGAGTAACCTCCAAAAAAGCCACGCCGGAGGGGAAAAAATGGGGGGAGGCAGCAGCCCCCTCCTGCCCGAGCCAGACGGGGAAGGGGCACACGTGCTTCTCCAGCTCTCGGAGGTGAAATGCAGCCCTCGAGCTTGGCTGGCTGCGGTGGGAGCATCACGCTCAACACCCCAGGGGAAAACCTCCGTCGGGGAGACCCCACTGCGGGATGGGGCAGCTGCGCCATCGGCAACATCTGGAGGGCATCTGGAGGGCGGGCAGGATGAGGGGGAACAGAGTACGGTAGGAAAAATACAACTCACCGACAGCTCCAAGGGAACAGCCGAGGGACGGGCAGGGCGGGAGGCGAGCCGGCGTCAGGCCACGGCATTTATAGCCCCGCCTGGGACACCTCCCTCGCTACCCGGGTGGGAAGGCACCAACGCTGATCCAGCGCCTGCCTGGACATTGGTTGGCACAGGAGGAGAGGAAACCCTGGGAGCAGCCCTGCTCTCCCCCCCCCAAACCATCCTGTCCCGTGTTCCAAGGGGGCTGGTTTGGGTTAGAAAGAGCAAAATGTGCCCCCGGGGCTGGACGGGGACCACCTGGTCGAGGAGAATCCCTCGGGACAAGGGATGAAGCAAGGGCCGTGGTGGGCACATCGCCCCAGGACGGTGCGGGGCGAGATGTCCCCGCAGGGTGGTTTTGGCAGCATCCCCGGGGATGTCTGGAGCCGCACGAACCCGAGCGGGGTTTGTCCACAGCTTTGTTTTTATGCTGGAGTTTGAGTTTGGGTGAGGGTTTGTTGTTGGGGTTTTTTTTGTTCTGTTTTGTTTTTGTTTTTTTTTTTCTGTTTTTAACTCGACTGCCAGCCATTTCTGTTTCCTAACTGCGAGGGCAGTGCGTCACAACGCCCCGTTGTGTAACGGAGCACTAAATTGGAATCTGCATGTCCCGGGCACGTGTCAGGGAGCTGCAGGGGAAAGCCAGAAGCCGGCAGTTTGCAGCTCCCTGCCGTGGGACGCGCTGGCTCTTCGCCATGGTGAAAGGGCTGACAAATACCCCGAATGTCCCCGAGCTTGGCTGAGCCCCCTCAGGACAAAGGCACCTGCTGCTGCGGAAACCAGAATGAAAAAACCACGGGGGTGAAGCCCCACTGCTGGCTCCAGTTTCCTCCGATGCCCAGTGGGACGCAAAACCTCATCGAACACCTTAAACACGTTTGTTTCGGGACTGTTTCGGCAAAATAAACCCCCCTCCCCAAGCGCAAACCTCATCTCTCCGTTAGCAAGTGTAAAGTGGTGTAAATTATTGGGAGGGGGCCAGAAGCTCCTGGGGGCTCTTTATAAAGACCCTGGGAAGGGGAAGAGCGAAGTCTGGAGCTGCTGGGGAGGTGTCGGAAGGATTTGGGGGCTCAGGGAGGACTTTGGGGTTCAGGGACTGGCTCTGCCAGGGGTCTGCTTTGCTACGCAAAGATGCAGAGACTTCGTGAGGGGGTTTTTGAATGCGGGGCGGTTTCTCCAGTGGTTTGGGGCCTCTGGGGAAAGCTGGAGAGCAGCTGCAGCACCTTCAGCAAACCAGCCCAGACCTGCCAGGAGCCGCTGCAGCTGCGGGGACATGACGGGGTGGGGGGGGACGGGCAGGCCCTGTGTTTCCCCAGGCAGTGCCACAGGCTGACGTGCTCAGGAAACGGTGGTTTGTCTGCAGCCCCACAGCTCCGTGGTAAAACCCGGGGGGCTCAGGTTGACCTTCTCCCAGTCCCCCAGCATGGGCTCATCCACATCCCGGCGGGGCCAGGGGTCTCCTCCAGCCGACCTCTGCGGGAACTGGGGACACGCTCTCGCTTTTGTGCTGTGGACAGACCCTGCACCTCGCTGTCTGGTTCTTCCAGATCAACTTTCCCTTCCCCAAATCCAATTCATCACCCAGGGCAGCTCCTGCCAACCTACAAACCAAGCTGGGCACAGGGAAGTGCGTTTGTTTTGAGCTAAACACGCACTGAAGCTCTCCCCGAGCCAGCAAGGACCGTTTGAGGGGGGGGAATGTCCGAGTGAGTTACTCGGAGGCGGCGCTGAGCTGTTTTGCTCAGCCTTTTCCAAAAAAATGTCTCCCGGGGCTGAGTCGAACCGTGGAAAATCCCAGAGAGCTGGAGGAAGGCATGAGTCACCCAGCTGCCCGCTAACCTTTGGCGCACAAAACCCTGCTGGTGCACACCCAAGGCTTTGGAAAAGCTTTTATTGAAAGCCCCGCGGTGATGCTGTGGGCCGCGGGGGTCACTTCTTGCGGGGCTGCTTGGCGGGGCCGTCCTTGAAGAACTCGTTGAAGCCCATGGTGATGCAGGCCAGGAAGCAGACGTACTCCTTAAAGTCCACCTCGCTGTCCTTGTTGTGGTCCAGGTCGTTCATGAGCCTCTTGAACTCCCCTTCATCCATTTGTTTCTACGAGCGGGGAGAGCACGAGGGGGGTAAGAGGGTTTGGGGTGCACGGATGGGTGAGGTGTTTCCCCGTCCAGCCCTGCTGCTCTCAAGGAAGGATGTAAAAAGCCTGGGCTTCCCTCCCACTGCTTTGAAGGAGGCTTTTCTCTCTGTCTGTGGGAGGAGGTGGCCTTTAGAAACGCAGGTGACTTACCCTTGATCTGGGGGATGCTGGCCCAGCTACGGCAAACATGCCTCTCGATCCCGGAAAAATTTGGCGAAAAATAATCTCTTCCCTCCTCCCAGTTTAAAACACAAGCCAGAAGGGGAAGCAGGGGTTAAAAAAAAGGATTTTTAAAAAATTGAAAGGGGAACATGATCTTCTTTGCCAATCAAAATATTTCTGTGGGTTTAAGGAAGCCAAGTTTCCTTTCGGCCTGAGCATGCTCCAGCTTGGGTCCTGCTGGCCTCATCCCTCCCACTCCTCACCCCGGGAGCGCGAGGTCTCACCGTGTCACGTGTGGGCCCCTCCATCGTCCACGCATTGGGGAAATGCAGACACCACCTCAAGTCAACGCGGTTTGCACCGTGCCAGGTGGAAAAACCCAAGGCTGGTTTTGTTCCTGCTCCTACAACACCTCCCGCCCGCGCCTGAACGCCTCCGAAGGGTGCAAAAGGGATGAGCCCCCCGGCCCCCCCAGCCACTTACGCTCCCAAAGATGGGCAGCTCGTTGCTCAGCAGCTCCTTGAGCTCCGCTTTGCTGAGCTTGAACTTGTCCCCTTCCTTCCCCGAGTATTTGTGGAAGGTGGTCACCATCACGGCCAGCGCCTGCTCCAGGGGACACGCCATCGCCAGCCTCCTGCTCGCCTGGGGGGCAGAGCACCAGGGACAGGCTCAGGGCAGGCAACGGGGGTCCGTCCCCCCCCCTCAACCTGCCCATATTGGTCCGGGATGCTGCAGAGGGGCAGCTGCACCCCCGGCGCGCGCAGCCACTGCTGGGTGAGTTGCAGCCGGGGAGCAAAGCTGCGCAACAGGCCATGAGCGAGGAAAGGGAGGGGAGACTCACCGGGATCGGCGCGGATGAGGCAGCAGCGAGGAGCCGGGGTGCTGCAGCCGGGGCGCGATGGGCATTTATAGCCCAGGCGGGGTGGCACTGCCCAGCGCGCCCCGCGCAGCCCCTCGCCTCCAGGCTTTCCCAGCAGCTCCATGCAGGCAGTTTCGCCCGCGCCTCATTTTTGCCTAACGAACTGTGTGATTCCATTAGTGGGAGAGGTGGGTGGGTTTGGGTGCTGTTGGGAGGAGCGGTCAGCCCTACTGGGAGAGACTGGGACAAGCCAAGGGATGGGCACAGGGACTGGGAAGGGCTGGGGCATCCCCGAGAAAGCTGGTCACCAGCTCACATCCCCACCTAAGCCACCACTGTACTGTCCCCCACACCACCACCTCGCTCTCTGGGTGGCCCCAGTCTCCCCAGAGTAAGTGCTGCCATCCCAGTGACCCCAGTATGAGTGGGGCTGGGGAGGTGACAGCCTTTTTATTCGAGCCACAGGCTGGGGCTCGATGCCAGCTGGAAGAACCATGAGGCCCAGTGCACAGGTCACTGCAGAACCCGCGGAGGCAGGCCAGGAGGAGCACGTACTCCTTGAAGCCCATCGCGTTGTCCTTGTCCTCCAGGTCCTTCAGCAGCACCCAGAGCTCGTCCAGTTGTTCCTGGCACAGAGCATCAGCGGGGTCAAGGACAGCGCTCGCTGGCCACAGCACAGGCAGGCACCAACCACAACGGGTGGTTTCGGCAGATGGGGGCAACCTGTTTCAGGGAGGGGCAAGCCCTTCCCCGACCCCCACCTCGTCCCCAGTGGTGGGGAGAGACGTGAGGATGCTGGTGGGGCTCGGTCCTGGGTGTCCTCACGCTCACTGCCACGAAGCTGGGCAGCTCCTTCAGCTCAGGGCACTTGTCACCCTCCTGGCCCGGAGCACACGGGGAAGGTGGCAGTGACAGAGGCCAGCGCTTGTTCCAGGGTGGTGGCCACCCTGGCAGGGGGCTGCTTCCAGGGGAGCATGAGGGCACCGTTTTAATCTGCAAACATTTGCCTTGTCACCCATCCACAGGATCCTGTTTGGTTTGGAGAAGGCAGCCAGAGTAAATTTAAATCCTCATCTGGAGAAACCCAAGGTGGCCTGGCCTTGAGCGTCTCGCAGTCAGCCAACCCTTCAACCTTTGGTGACTGCGGGGGAAACATGTCTTCCCCCTCCCAGAGATGCGGCAGCTGGAGAGGACCATGGGGGAACATATTTGGGGCATTTTCTGGAATCTTGCAAATCTTGCAGCACGTGGGGCCCTCGAGGCGGGTGCACTGGCAGGGCTGAGTTAGCAGCTGCCGCCCGGAGCTGATCCTGCCAGGAGCACGAGGACAGGACCGTGGGTTTGAGCTCCCTAAATCGGGGCCAGCTGCAGAGCCTGGCAGCCCCATCCCTGCTCCATGGCCCCGCAGCCTACCCCTCCCTCCCCGCCTGCCGTATGGTGCCCTGCAAAGTGCCCCCAGGGCTTTCCAGGAGCACCCAAGGGTGCAGCTGCCAAGCGCGGGGGCCCTCCCAGCAGACACCCGTGCAACGCTGCCTCCGACACGCCGGGGCCCTGCAGCAGCCCCTCCCGTGCCCCCCCTCCCACTTCCCCATGCACCCCTGTTTGCTCCAGGGAGCTCTGGGGTGTTCAGAGCCCCAGCCCGGATGCCCGGGTGCTGAGGGGGAGCGTGCACCAGGGGAGGGACATCCTGAATTGTTTCCATGTGCTGCAGCCGATTTGCGTCTAGAAATGAGATGGCGGGGGCTGGTTGCCCCTCACCCTGAGGGTCCTTTCTGGGGAGAGCCCAAGACTTTACCCCGGAACCCGTCGGGTCGCTGGGATCCCATGTGACAGCGCCCAGCCGAGCCCCGCTCACCCCATAAACCAGGGCGTGAGTCACGAGCCCTGCCCTCGCCCAAGAGGGATTCCTCCACCGTGACTCAGCCGCAGCCCTGCCCCGCTGCGCCGTCTCCCACGGAGACACCCCCAGTTTGACCAGGACCCCAGTGCTGCAGGGCGGGGGAAGGTGGACTGCACGGGCAGGGGGACGGGCAGGAGCCAGCGATGCTCCGGCATCGGGGAGGGAAGGAGCGGGGTCAGCAAAGGGGGATTGGCTGGAAGGAGATGGGGGTCCCTGCTCCAAGCTGCTGACACCCCCCCCCTGCTGTGGGAGTGGGGGTCATGGGGGTCCACCACCATGCTCATAGGCCTGAGGCCAAGTCCTCTCCCAGTGGAAAATCCCCGGCAGGCGCCGGAACTGCCAGCTCGGGCCAGTTGCCAACACCGTGGGTGTCAGGAGCCCGGCTGCAGCACCCTCCCCGCCGAGCCCCTCCAGCCCAGGGTGTCCCGGCACACACGGGGCCGTGGAGCTTTTCCCCATCCCCGTCCCGGGTGGGGGACGTAAAACACACCAAGATGCTCACGGGAACTGGGGTTCCTTGAGCCGCCCCGGGGTTGGCGCGTGCGGGGCCGTATAGTGCCAGGCTGCTCGGGACCCCGCGTGGGGACACGGAGAGGGTTCCCCAGGACGTGCGGCAGCAGCACCCACACCCTGCGCCCCAGGCAGTGGCTTGGGGTGCTGCGGGGCCCCCGTGGGGTGCCGGGAGGCCACGGTGTCTGCTGACACCTCGTGGTGGCTCCATCGGCCCCAGGGAACCGTGCCGGGAGGCCATGGGGTCTGCTGACACCTCGTGGTGGCTCCATCGGCCCCAGGGAACCCAACCCCGCGTGGCGGCAGGGCTGGGATGGGCGTTATTGCCAGGCCAGGGCACGGCGTGACCGTGGGGGACAGGGCAGGCCCCCTCCCTTGACCCCCCACATCCCCTCGGTGCATTCGTGCTGCGGGGCAGTCCCCGGGAAGGCAGAACCTCAGCATCACCTGTTGCTCCTCCAAACTTTATTGCTGCAATAAATAATCACGGTGGTGTTGCCCGGAGGACGGAACCGCGCCGCTCCCAAGCCCAAAGGACCAGAGCACCAGGTAGCGCAGGCAGGGCAGACCCTTCACCAGCTTGGGCAGGGGGAAAGGCACCTTTTCCCAAGAAGACCCCCCCAACTTCAAGGGGGAGCTCCAAGGGGAGAGAGGGTCCCGGTTGTGATGGAATTTCTGCCAGTGGGGCTGCGTCCCAGAGGTCTGAGAACAGACAGAATTCGTGTCCTAGATGAGGGGAAGCCTCTCCCTTTGCTTCTTTGCCCAGCAGCCCAGCAAGGACAGGGGTTGTGGAAGAGGATGAGGGCAGGAATGGCATGGCACGGGGGCAAGAAGGAGCCCCCCGAGCCTGCGATGGCCTCGCACCCCCCAGCTCCCACCCCCAGGATCTTCCCGCCCTGATGGCACCCTGGCATGGCTCGGTCGGCAAAGCCGTGGGGGACCGGGGTGCCCCGGCGCAAGCTGGGGCTCGGGGTGGGGTTTGGC